TATAAAGTGGGAAGATTTACTAAATAAATTCCCTTATAATATACATGTAATGGGTAACGGGTAACGGTAAAAATTATATTGTACCTTTGCAATGAACTAAAAATAAATTTTGTATTGTGTCTTCCCCTTTTAATAAGAAGCATCCAATTTCAAAACACGAGAAAACAGAAGTTTAAAGCATTGCGTATGTAATTTTTAAGATGAAACTGTAATTCTATCAATACCAAAGACATGCTTGTACAAAATGTTTGACGATATGTGTCATATATGTTATATACATGTAGAATAAGTTACCTTAGATGATAAAGTTCTCTACTATTTTATAAACAACCCTACATATATTTCTAAGTTATTAATTTCAAATCATGCATCTATAGATAGCCTTCTTTCATTTAATTAATAACTCGAAATTTTGTTTAGTTATTCGCGCAATAATTGATGACTTTCTTATTTGAAATAATCTAATTTACAACTTAAATTACTTTCTAATAACACTTATCATCAAATATGACATGTAATCATACTTCAAAAGACAATGTCATTTATTTTTAAGAAATATTTTATATTATTTTATATTATTTCATATTATTATATATGTGAAATATATAAATAAGCACATCATATAAATATATGCGTCTCTTTCTCTTTATTGATCTTATTTTCTCGTTTTATTGATGTATCTAAACAATTTTATGAGTTGCTTTAAATAACATTCTATTTAAAAGAAAGAAATAAATTACTAATGCTTAATCTAAATTACCTGCCAAATTAGTGTGCCTTTTTCATGGATATTTACTTCTTTAAAAAATTAACTGAAATGTTCATGAAACGTTAGAAACATCTTTAAAAAAGACATATTAACGGGAAATTTAGATTAAACACTAGTAATTTACTTGTTTGCTTAAAATAGAACGTTAATTAAAGCAAATCATAAAATTGTTTGCATGGAACAACTGAATATATGAAAAACGCAATAAAATGATTTAAGTGAAAGAATACAATTGTTTATAGTAATAAATTGAGTTATTAGAATGAAGCGGTTGAATTATTTAAGCATTATAATAAATATTTTAAATGAAACAAATAGTTCTTTAGATAAAAACAACAGTTTCTCAGATAAAATAAAAAAAGTTTTTCTCTACATATTACATTATTTTAATGAAACAACAAATTTTATTGTGTCAAATACATTTGTATTCTTTTATGAAACAAATATTTTATTTGAAATAAAGGTATATATGATTTGCAAATTCAAACATTTGTGTTTGTTAATTCAAGAATTGGTTTCTTTGGTCCATTTCAAAAGATTTATTTCTTTAGGTTTAATAAAATTTATTAAATCCAAAGAAATCGTTCTCTCAGTGTATACGTTAAAATATTGCTTTTTGTAGAAATGTTGAACATTAGGAAAAAAGTTTCAGTTTTATCCAAGAAATTCAGTGAAAAGATATTTATAATAACAAAAGTTTTAAACCGTTCATAAAAATCATGTGTACTTTTCTGGAGAATTTAGTTTAACAGCTACTGTAAAAATTTCAAGTGAATCGAATGAAATTTGTTAAAGTTCTGCTGCAAGCCAATTTGAAAAACGTGGTATTACTTCAGCGCCGCCATTTTGAGGCAAAATAATAACAAAAAATTGTTTTGTGTGTAGTTTAAGATATGCACATTAGAGACCTTCAAACCAATTTTCCATCTATGTTGTTATTTAACTACAAAAAATTCCCAAACTTACTCTGTGTTTTCAGGCGTTCCCCCTTAAACGGTTGGGTCGCGACAATACTGTGTGAAAGATAATGGTTAACACACAACACGAAGGCGCTCCATAAATCTGTGCGCTAAGTGTTTATAAATACGATTTATGACGTACACTTTGCATCATTCTAGCAACAAAGTGTTAATCAGATCCTTTATGTGGATTATGTTTAAAACTTCGTAAAGAGATAATCTGTTTTTTTTTTCTTTGCGCGTTAACGTACAACGTTTTGATTGAGATTACCCGCGTTATGAAATGCTAGATATTTATAAATACAGGGTGCGTCTAAAACTTCTTTATCGACAAACTTAGAGGACAGATTATATGTTGAAAAATAAGTAAAATAGGTTAGTAAATATATATGTCCGCAAAACCTTCGCTTTTAAGATATAACCTTCGGAACATGATAAAAATGAAAAAATGTGTCACGATAAGCGGGTTAAGAATGCCAATATCTTTTACACGTGTTTGATGATAATACTTATCAATTTTGATAATTTCTGGATATTTACGAAAGAGTCATTCGTTATGACGCTGGTATATATCGTCACGAGTGAAATTACAAAAAATATATTTTCCCCTCGATATCATGGATGCCTACACTTTTGAGGAAATTTGGCTTGCAAATTTGGCAAAAATTTTGAACAATTTTTACAAGAGCATTTATTTAATTATTTGTAAAACGAGATTTAATTTATGAATAAAATACATTTTTTTAACTGATATTGCGGCAATTATATCTCAGAAACTAAGCCTTTGAAAATGTATATTTATTTTTTTCAAGATATTTTTATGTATTTATTTTTTGTTATATGGAATTTATCCTGTGAGTTTATCGATAAAGTTCAGATACATCCTATATATCACATGTACGATAGACTTATTAATACACGCTACTAAAGAAATGATGAAGTCAAATTTTCTCGTACTTTTACTATTTTTCATTCACTAGTTTTATATTATGGTTGTATTATATACTTTACATAACAATTTTTTGAGAACTAGATCAACACGCAATCTTGTAATGTTTTAATATCATTTCTACAAGTCTCTTTCACTGTTTCCTCATTTTTCATTAAAAGTGTAAGAGTAATTTGCTCGCTGAAGTTAAAAATGCGGTGAAGCTGTTTTCGTACCTGTAATATGTGTGAACATATAAAAAATCAACATCAGCTTCAATTATTTCAAACTTTAGTACGATTGATCTTTTTTATACTTGTAGAAGTGTGTAAATCGAGTGTCTCGATCAATATTCCCTGAAAATTTAATGTAAAATTTGATTTACATCGGAAACTAATAAACGTGATGACTAGTGATTAGCTAAATTAAAATTATATCGATTTCTATTTGTAGCAAGTTTACTGTTAAACGTATGTGAATCAATATGGATATTTATGATAGAATTAGAACGTGTTATGACATTGTTATTTTAAATGTATCAATGATTACAAACAAATAATGAATCATACGCATATGACAAGAATCTCCCTCTCTCTCTCTCTCTCTCTCTCTCTCTCTCTCTCTCTCTCTCTCTCTCTCCCTCCCTCCCTCCCTCCCTCCCTCCCTCCCTCCCTCCCTCCCTCCCTCCCTCCCTCCCTCCCTCCCTCCCTCCCTCCCTCCCTACCCTCTCTCTCTCTCTCTCTCTCTCTCTCTCTCTCTCTCTCTTTAACATGTATTTAAATATATAATAAAAATAACTATGTAATATATATTAATATTATAGAAATTTCTATATAATATATATTTAAATATATAAAATTATATTTAACAAAGAAGAAAAATATACATGTTTAAATTTATTAAATTAATGTAAATATACAGGGTGTCCAGGATTTTTTGGAAACGAAATATTGTGAAGATTAATCAGATCAAACTGAGGAGAAAAGTCATGTATCAGGTAATTTTACATAAATCGTAACAGTTATTAAGTTATTAATGATTGAAAATGATCACATCTAGAGGCTCTTCTAATTGATAATTTGAAAATACTTATTTACAAAATAGTAAAGGACTTTTTTGTTCAGGATGACCTAATCTGCAATATGACGGCTATTGTGTCTATCGATAGATATGAGTACATTGAACTTTGAACTCTGAATTTTGAACCTGTCACTAGGCACAACAGCCGTTATATAATTATAGATTAGGTGATTCTGAACAAAAGAGTCCTTTACCATTTTTCAAATAATTACGCAAATTTTCAACTTATCAATTCAAAGAGCCTTTAGATGTGGTTATTTTCAATCACTAATAACTTAATAATTATTGTGATTTTTACAAAATGGCACTTGCCTTTTCTTCTCAGTTTGATCTGATTAATCTTCACGATTTTTCGTTTCCAAAAGATCCCAAGCACTCTGTATATATAAATATATACATTGTTTGATTGTTTAGATCACTTTTCTGTCTAAAAATTTCGACTTTAACTTAAAAAAAAGAAATATGTACGGTAAATTTATCAGAAAATTACATTTTCTGTAATCGTATATTTAATAATTCACATTTTAAAGAATAAAACCGTTTACAATTTTGGGAGTTTTCATTTTCAATCGTCAGTAGTCATTTTCAACCATTAATAACTTAATAACTATTGCGATTTCTGCAAAACGGCACTTGACTTTTTGTCTCAGTTTGATCTGATTAATGTTCAGAATTTGTCGTTTCAAAAGATCCCAGACACTTTGTATATATTTATATTTATATCTATATGTATATTTTATCTTTATGTATATTTATACATATTAATATATATATAAATTTCTATAATATATATTAAAAATTAGGAAGCATGTTTTTTTTTAATATCACTATGATATTATTAAAGCAAGCGTCTCTACAAGAATTGTGTATTACGAATACGGCCACACCACCGCGTTACACACCGTGCTATAATTCTACATCCTCCTGTTTGCGCGCATAGACATATTTATAGCTATGGAAAGCAAGAATACGGAGTGTTCCAACGCCATCGTTACTCCTCTCAATTACGGGAAATCGAGAATTAAATGACGAAGATGACGCTGGTTTTAACGTCGCAGTCTCCTCCGCAAGTGTTAACTCGGAAACTCGGTTAGAAGTCGGCGGGAGAGTTTGAAGCGCGAGATCGCAGTTTAAGTAAGGAATATAACGGGATCTCGAGAGACGTCGTCTCCTTTTCGTAAATTCCGACAACAAATTCCGGGAAGTTTCCGCCGTACCAGCAACGTCTCGCAATAACGCATCGAATGGTTTTCGCTTGTTTAAGGTGGAATTGTTCCAGTCGCGCTTTCCAGAAGGTACAACAATGAGATTTTATTCCCTCGGCCGTGTTCTGAGCGTGCTCGTTCTGCTCGTCGCTTTGACGTGCGCCGCGGAAAGCGCCAGTCTTCAAGCGAGGCGCTCCTTCTTGGAGGATATCGGAAACACATTGAGCAACATCGGAGACAAAATCAAGGATACTATGAGAGGTTTCGAGTCCGTGTTCAGTCAACCCGAGGACTTCGATCCCGAGAACCTCGTACCCACGACGACCTTGGAACCGAACTTGACTATTTATCGGAATATCATAAAAGCCCCGCTTAGATGCCCGCCTAATCATGTGTTAGTGAAGCAACGGTGTCGAGAGGTGTTCAAACGATAATGAAGTTCGCGAGATGTCAGAGAGGAATACGATATTACCGTTTCTCATTTCTGCCGAATGTCGGTCAGTCAATATTGTCTCGTTAGATAATAATGTGCCGTGAGATTTATTTCCTCCTGAAAATTGCAACAGGCGCAATTAAGCATTTTGGTGTATATGTTAAGGATAATCTAGGATTACCTCTCTTGACACATTGATACGAAAATAATAATCTCACTTTACTTAATTGCTTAGCATTTTTTTATGTCTTATTAATTATTAATTAAAATCGGTACATTGATCTTTTCTTTAATCGTACAGAACAGTGGAGATTCTGATATAAATATTTAAAAGCAAGTTTAATCATTTTTCACCGGTAAATGACAAGGTTTTATTATATATACTTTGGACCAAATTATATGGTCTTAAATATGCATTAATGTCAAATCATTTACTGTGATAATACAAATTATTATTTATCAAGTTCGCACCAGTTAATAGACTATACAAATACCTAAAACAAGTCATCTGAATAACTTTGAAAATATGCAAAATAAAAAAGAAATGTTAATAGGAGTAGATAGTAATAGAAATTGTAAAGTTTTAAGTAACGCGTTACATAGCAATACTAGTATGACCTTGAACAGCGTCATCAAGGTTACGGGAAGGTCACTTTGAATTTTTTAAATAGAAGTCCCCATGTTTTACTACATCATCTTTTTCTACCAATTAATTTGAACAACTTTTGTCTGAAACATTTTTTTATTCGCCTAATATTTTTTGAGATATTTAAGAAAAACTTGGTAACTTTTCCAATATTTTCAATATTTGGCTTACGATATCTCGATATCTATTTGACGGAAGAAAAAGTAATGCTAGACTCCTTTACTCCATTTGGTCTTTACTCTATTTGGTCTGAATATTACAATAGTGCCCTAACTTTTGTTAGTTTGATGACCTTTAAAAATTTGACCATTGAAAAATCACCATGTTAACAAAAGTTAGGGCACTGTTGTAACAACATATTCTTGAGCCCAAATAAAGTAGAAAAGTCTAGTATCATTTTTTTCTGATAAATAGTTATTAAGATATCGTAAGCTAAATATTGAAAAAGTTACCAAGTTTTCCTTAAATATTAGAAAATATATATTAGTCAAATAAAAAAATGTTTGAAGCAAAAGTTGTTAAAATTAATTGGTCGAATAAAATGATGTAATAAAAAATAAGAATTTCTATTTAAAAAATTCAAGAACCTTTCCGTAACTTTTTAAGGTTATCATACTAATATTACCATGTCGCTAAAACCGTATAATTTTTGTATTTAATCTTTTTCTATCTTGCATATTTTCAAAGTTATTCAGGTGACTTGCTTTTAGATGCTTCATTCTGTACAATAACTATATAATTTTCACCCAAATTACATGAAACAATATAATCGAATATTGCAAAAATTGTTGTCGCAATCTTCCAAAATTTTGAATACATCTTAATCGGGTCCATAATACAAAATTCTTGTAAAGTCGCATGCCTTAACGACATTATAGCAACATTTTCGAAGCATGCTTTTTCTTATTTTAAAATATATAGAAATTTTTATAACATTTCATGTGTGTGACTGATTATTTATTACAATCATTGATATCCCTGTAATAACAATTGTTAATTGTAATAACATCTTCTAATTTTAGCATGTACATAATTTACATACTTTTAGGAAGTGAACTTGAATTGATTAAAGTCGATACACAATTATAATTCGGCTCATAACTGATCGTCGCATAAACTAGTTTTCCCGATATACATATTTAAAATTCAAAATATCTGAATATAATTGATATGTTAAATTACAAAGAAACGTTTAACGCCATACTTGAACACTTTGCCGACAGAATAATGACTTTCTTCTGCGAAGTTTATCTCGTTTTGGTTGTACAGAAAATTTCAAACCCTCTTGCGCAATGAAAGTGCGTTCAAAACTTAACTGAAGCATTGCTTAATATGTCACGAAGCGAAAGTATAAAAATGTTAAACTTGACATCTCGAGTCGCCGATTGGCGTATTTGTAGATGTGTAGTGGTAAATTTGCCCGGTGCGAAAGATTCGCGGCTGTCGAAACGCGGAGCGTTCACCCCGCTGGAGAAAAAGTTTCGGAAAACATCGCCGTGCATTTACAACTGGATTTAAAAGCTTAACAACGCGCGAAAAGTTTGCAAAAGGATATCTATATATGCGTGGTTAAGTCCGCTGAAAGCGCGGTAAAACAGAGCGCATTTAAATGAGACCTGTGTGTAGCGCGAGAAATACGAAAAGGTTAGCGCCTAGGATCGTGTCGGTGCTCGTTTGATGACACAAAGTTTGGACAGTCGCGTCTGCGTTATCGACGCTTCTGGAGCGTGTTATCCACTTTGGCATTCCCTTGTCCACCAAACTTGTGCAAATGTCAGCAGATATTTATAACGACGATTACATGAACGCGAGAATAGAAAGAAAAAGGGAAAACAAGAAGATACCTCTGCACTTTCGCTTGATAATTCCAAGGCTAACTTCGAACACGCAGAAATTTAATCATTCACTTAATCAAAGCGGCAATGTTGAAATCTTTGCAGTGGATCCAACCCAAGCAAAAAATAGTTAGGGCCATCCTTATGGCACAAGGTCCCAATAAGGTTGAAAGTAGGATACCCTAAAAAGAGATGCCTCAATATTATCACATCAGGTCTCGAGATGGATTTTTTAGGGATACTTTAGATTTCACGAAATAAGGCTTTAATAAGGAAAATTGATGAGGGCCTTAGAAGGATCTATTAGGGGTGCCTTAGATTTTACAAAATAAGATTTTATAGGAAAAGTTGAGAAGGGTCTTAGAAGGACTTTTTAGGGATGCCTTAAATCTAATAAATAATCTAGGCTTTGATAGAAGGAAAACTTCTAAGAGTCTTAGAAGAATTTTTAGGGATGCCTTAGATTTTTTTAAATAACGCTTTAACATGGAAAACTGATGTGGACCTTAGAAAGATCTTAAATATGCTTTAGGTATACAAAATCAAGTTCTGTTATTGAAAATTAATAAGATCTGATTAATAAGATCTGTAATAAAATTAGTTTAGTATTGTTTTAGTAGGTACGCTTTATCTAGTTCCTTTAAAGATTTTTTAATTATACCGTAATTGAAAACAAATTTTATTAGTTTTATTAGTCGTCATATTCATTAATCTCTCCCAAGGATTTTTCTAGTATTGCCTTCGTTTTGAAATGCAGCAAACTTTAATAAAAACAGTAGCAGGATTTTTATGTGATATTAAAGAATGCTACATTTTATTGTAAAGTATGCTATATTTTTAAAATAAAAGATTCTTGTTGCAACAAGGTTATAAAGAAATAAAGAAATTACAGTCTAAATTTCTTAGAATGAAAAAAAACGAATATTTTTACTCAAGCAATGATAAAAATAATTCGACTCGCAAGAATTTCGAATTGCAAGAATGAATGTTTCATTCAAATTTAAAATGGATTTTAACTCCATATCTTAACATTACCCTATGAGACTCTTAATATTGCCTCATAATACCCCTGTTAATAGTTCTTTACAAGGCCTCATAAAAACCCTGTTAATAGTTCCTTACAAGGCTTTATTAATATTGCCTGATAAGGCCCTATTGATATTGCCTTATAAGGACCCGTTGCATCATTTGTGACACATCTTGTAGAGCCCTTGTAAGGTCCTTTTTATCCCTACTAGGGCCCGATTAATCTTAAGGAAAAATAATCAGGTCCCTACCAGAACCCTATCAATTTTTCTACTTGGGAAGCCACGCAACTACTCCATCCGTGCCGTATCGGTACTCGTGATACGTCGGCATCATATGCACGAGTAATAATAACGTAATTGCGCATTCCACAATGGCGTTAATAACCGTTAACGGAACCTGCGGAAATATATTAATTATAAAATGATTATCCGTTGTTCTTCACACACTCGATGTCCGGCCAAGCGTCCTTAATAACGGCGCGCGTGACCGCCGCAGCGGCGTGTTTGTCGCGCCGCGTCGACGTGTGACGTCAGAGTCTCCGAAAAATAAAACATGATTATGCATTTCGCAAGAGAAGCACGCGCGATGATATCCGTCGATGGTGCACGAGTTTAAATCGCCGAGATCGATCTCCTCTCGAGCGTCATCGAGCCCGACCGGACGATAAGCCGAGTGACGACGCGAACGATTCGCCGCGTGCTTAATTTATTCGCGGTACATTCGCATTTGCACGTCCGGCCCGCCCTGCCCGGCCGAGTAATTAAAAATTATAGCCGCATTGTTTATGCGTTCCACCGCGCGCTCCACCGATCGGCTCGGAACCGCTCTCGCGAAATCTCGTTCGCTCTGCGTCCGGCGTTTTCCCTTACGACCTTCCCTCCTCTCGCCCCCTCGCCCCTCCCCCTGCGGAATGATAACTCGCGCCCGCGCTAAGTGCCCGTTCGATTTCTAAATTACGCCTGTCGCGAATATAAAACGAGTTACGGGCTACGCGCGATGGCTCGGACGGCGTAATGGCGTGGCGATACATATCGAATTCCTTTTAATGCCTGTATCGCGTGTAAAATGTAAAAACGTGATCGAGAAGGCAGATAAGCGCATACATTTGTAGGATTAATATATCGTTTATTCGCCGCCACCACGAGAAAGAGAGTGAGAGAGGGAGAGGGGGGGGGAGGAAAGCGTCGCCCTCGCTCGCCGTTACTTCGCTTGTTCAGCGCTCGCTCGCTCGCTCGCTCGCACGTACTCACGTGTATTTCCTCAATTATCAATTACCGATTATTATGCTCATGACACGGCTCTCCGCGCAGTCGATTTTTCTCCTTTCTCCCTCCCTCCCTATTCCTACGTGTATTAAAGCTAGAACCACCGGCGATTAACGACCTGTTTCTACCGGAGCTGTTAAAACGGCAAGTTGTTGAAAGAAAAAAAATGTACATTCACCTTTCAGTTTCACTTAACGTAATAAGTAAAATATCATATCATATTTAACGTTGAATAATAAATAAAAATGTAAAATGGGCCGTTATAAAATCGGATTCTCATAATCGGATCTTCATAAGGATCTTCATTCTATACTAGTCATTTCGACAGTTCTGATATCAAGGAAGATCGGTTCTCTCTCTCTCTCTCTCTTTTTCTCGTGACAATATTGCTGAGAAGATACTGGCTGATCTAATATGAAAAAGCCTGTGTGTTAAATATTTATAAGTATAATTTATGATGTACCACTTTGACACTATACAAGAGAATAAATATCAATCAAAGTTACGTAGTGCTTAAATATTCATAAGCCAATAATGGTTTTTCGCATATCGACGTATATGTATATGATATTTTCGGCTGGGAATATCCGCATGTTAAACATATTTTTGTAAATATAAACACACAGTGCGCGTTATTAGAGGAATGATTGTGACGTCGAGTGTTTTCGCATTTCTACGTGTCAGCCCAAACAAACTTTTTCTGTTATTGTTTACAATAGAGTATATGTGAGAATTGATCTGTTTTATCATAATGTTATCACTACTCTGACAGCGTGAATAAATACCTATAAAATTAGCCAATATTATCAATATTGTCAGTTGCGTTTTTTGATCAGATCAAAAATTCGCACGGGGTGAAATTTCGCTCATGGTAAGCCTTTAAGAGTTAAAACGTTCTTTAATCTTCTATAACGCTATGTAAGTTTGAAGTCACATACTGATACATCGATATTCTTAACTTAAATTATACGGAATGTATAAAAAATACCGGAACAGCGACATATCTCGAAAACTAAGCATTTTAGAAAAGAATATTTCAGACCAAAGTTGTATGGTTTCAAGGAGGATGTAAAGCAAAACTATATCATTTTGTTTACGGATGGCGCCACTTTCAAGATATTCATTAGTCATTGCTTTTCTTAAATGGAATCTCAACTTTTTATTATATCATCTTTTTCCATCAATTAATTTCAACAATTTTTGTCTGAAACATTTGTTTTCTAAAATGCTCAATTTTCGAGATATTTCGCCGTCCCGATACTTTTTATGCACCCTGTATATGCACTGTGTCCCATTCTAACTCCAAAGTTACAAA